TGTAAAGTTTTATATCATCATAAAACAAAATTTAAATTAAAATGAAGGATAAGTGATCCTTAAAAAACAAAAGCAAAATGAAACAGATGAACCTAACTATGTATTGTTGGTGAATTAAACTCAGGAGAATCATTTCAAAGGGCAAAAAGTAATTTGTATTTTTCTAGGATGATATATACCCCAAGGCAAAAAGAGCTGCAGAGACTAAATTGTTTTGAGTGAAGAGGGTGTTAGCAATGCAGTGGTATTGTGACTCTCAAATGATCATATATTTGAACATAAAGAGGTTCTTTATGTACATGTGCATATGTATACTAGCATAAGACATATATATCATTGTGTTGATGTCTCTGTCAACAAGGATGTCAACTTAAGAGGAAAGAGATACAAATATAAAATCAGAGAAAGTAAACAGATGACTTTTATGAAATGGATTATTACTCAATAAAATTATTTTTTTTAAAAGACTTATTTATTTGTGCATACAGAACTGGGGTACAGGCCAGAGGCTCAGGGGTGGTGAGAGGCTTCACCAGAGACAGAGCGGGGAACAGAACAGGCAGATCGACGAAGTACACTGCTGAGGGGAGCAGTGGGCGGGTCAGGAGAGGTCTGCTGCGCCATGTGGTCTCCTTCGGGGCAGGTGCGGATCGAACTCATGCGGAAGTGGCTTTAGCTTCTCAGTGCTGTGCTTTAACCCGCTGCGCCACCAGGGAGGGCCTACTCAATAAAATTATTAAAAAAGAGAAAGAAGGTAAATACAAATCTTGTAATTCTAAATTTGAATTGAGAAAGCCAGTATAAACACATGATGTATTTTCCTCTTTTGTTCATTGCTAGCACAAGGGGTTAAGTCTCAACACTGTGAAGCTATCCGCAGCCACTACAGCGTAAGTTCTACCCCAGCCAGGAGGTGACCCACATGGCACAGGAAACCTCGCCTGTCCCTCCCGCTGCTCCCCTCAACCGTGTATTTCACTGCTCTTTCTACTCCCCATACCATCTCTGGTGAATCCCCTTACTGCCCCCAACCACATCACTGTCCTGTACCCCCAGCTCTTGTATGCAAAAATAAAAAATAAGTCTTTAAAAGAATAAACAGCCACAAATATGAATGAGGTAATAAGAGAAATCTGCAAGCTGGGTATATGTTGATGTTGTGAAATTATAATTAAATTTTCCGGTTTGATAATGATTTTAAGAGTTGTTTAGGTGTGTTTGTGTTTTTTGTTTTTTGGTTTTTTAAGTTTTATTTATGCATACAGAACTGGGGTACAGGGGTGGTGAGAGGATTCTCCAGAGGCAGAGTGGAGGGCAGAACAGGCCGACTGACGAAGTCCACTGCTGAGGGAGGGGAGCAGCAGGCCAGTCAGGAGAGGTCTGCCGCGCCATGTGGTCACTTCCAGGGCGGTGACCAAACTTGCACTGAAGCGGCAGCGGCCAGCTTGCAGTGCTGTGTCCTAACCCATTGTGCCCAGGCAGGGCCCCGTGTTTGTGTTTTTTAAGGTGTCCTCATTTTTTTTTAGAAACCAGTGCTGAAATCTTGTGGATGAAGTGGCATGACTACTGGGAAATTCCAGAATAATGCTGGAAGAAAGTAGATGGGTATGAGAGAAACGCTGTTGACCATGATTGAGCGTTGTTGAGCCTGGGTGATATGCCCGTAGGGGCTTCACTGAATATTATTGTTTGGTTTTTAATTTGGTAAACATTTAAATTTTTTACACAGGAGGAAACAAGAGTATTCTCTGCACAAAGATGCACCCAGCTAGCAGGCAGACGTTAGAGGAGGGCTGGTTCCACCTTTCAGAGGTATAGAGCGAGCTTGCACGAAAAGTGCTGAAACAGGAGGGCCGTGAAGAAAGAGGGGACTGGAAAATGTTCAAAGATATAAAATAAGAAATAAACATTACACACCACAGGCCGAGATTTTTATATATATATCGGCTCTTGAATTTATTTATAAATTGTATGATTTTAAAAAATTACAGTAGTTTATTTTCACATATTTTTGTGCATTTTTCCATCTCAGTTGCAATCCCCTTGGGCTTCCCATCACCAAATCACCCGTGTGCCATCACCATAGTCCAGTGCATTTCCCTCCCCCCACTGTTTTTTTTTTTTTTTATTAAAAAGTTTATTTTTACATCATTTTTCACATTTTTTTTTTTTCATCTCAATTGTAATCCCCACGGGTTTCCCATCACCAAATCACCCCTGTGTCCCCCCACTGTTTTTGATCCCATTCCCCACTCCACCCCCACAAAATGTCTCTGGTATATAGCCGTTCATCATTATCATTTTCTCGCACAGGCCGAGATTTTTAAGGAACCCTTTCCTGGTCCATTGAGTGCTTTTTGCCACGATCCCTTCCATGAACTATTTTTGCCCATTACTTACTGTTTTAACTCTTACTACTATAACAGAATGTCATAAATTGAGTGTGTTGTGAACAACAGAAACTTACCTCTCACTGTTCCACAGACTGGAGTTTCCAGGTCATGGGGACAACAAGGTGGGGTTCCAGGTTGCACAGGTGCAGCTGATGTTCTATGTGGCAGAAAGAGCAAGCTAGTTCTTGGGCCTCTTCTTGGAAGAAAACTAATCCCACTAATTACCTCCTGAGGGCCCCCACTTCCAAATGCCATCACAGTGAGGATTAACTTTCAATTTAAGAATGGGGAATGCACAGACATTCTGCCCAGCACAATGTATTTCTGCTCATATTTTCATTTGCCATTCTTGTACTTTTCATTTTGGGAGGTTGATTGGTGTCATGTTACCAGCAGTTTATGATTTTTGTTTTGTGGCCCAATTCCTGTGTATTAGGAGAAAGTTGTGTCTATTTGCATAGCATTGTGTCATAAGGTGAAAGAAAATAGTCTACAGCACAGTCTAAAAAATAATAATGGGAAAGGAAAACCAATACAGATATATTCTGCAGGGTTAATTGTGTATCGTGGGATTAGATATGTTTTATTTATTTGTGTGGCTATATATATATATTTTTTTTTTTTTTCAAAATTAACACACATTGGGCCTCCTTGGTGGTGCAAGAGTTTAACTCTCAGCACTATGATGCTATCTGCAGCCACTGCTGCACAAATTTGATCCCCAGCCAGGGAGCTGACCCACATGGCGCAGCAGACCTCTTCTGTCTCTCCTGCTGCTCCCTTCAGCAGTGCACTTCAGTCAGTCCCCTGTTCTGCTCCCCACTCTGTCTCTAGTGAGTCCTCTCACCCCCCACTTCTCTGGCCTACACGCCAGCTCTTCTGTGCATAAATAAATAAATCTTTTTAAAAATTAACACATATTATAAATAACACCGATAAATAAGGTTCGTTAAAAAGGAAAAGTGAATAACAATAAACTTTCTGATCAGCTGGGTGAAAGGGAGAGGAGCAGGGGAAAATATATCAAGACTGGCTAGATCTAAGGAGGTTTTATTAGCATATGATATCCAGTACATATTGGGAAGCAGACAAAATCCTGTCCAAGCCTAACTGAGAAACGTTGCAGATATTTTATAAGCTCAGTCCCCACACAGTCTTGCTGCAGGCTTATCCTGGGACTTTGTTTCCTTCGCTGGAACACATAGACTCCAGCCAGGAGCCTCAGTGCCTCCAATAAAACCTTAACCACATTAATTAACAGATTTTATATGCTAGGTATGAATAATAGGCATGGCCCGTGTGCACAGAAAGGAAGTGTGCTAACTCGGAAGGACAAAGGGGAGCTGCTGTACAGGAACCAGTGGCCTCTCCCTGCTACCAAGTGTTGACAGCTTCTTCCTTGCAGCCGGTTACGGGAGGGAGCGGGCTTGAGGGTTTTCTGCCTCTCTCAAGTTCACTTTGCAATCTCTAAAAATATTAAACTGCCAGGTTGTTGCTGAAATTACTCCTGGGTATGGCGCGTGTTGTTAGTGATGGGGTGAGAATGAGGAATGTGTGCTGTGGTCAGAGTACACTGGAGAGGTAAGGTCCTGCGTCTGGGCTGATTCAGGCTGAGTTGGAAATGAAGAACGATTTCTAAACCAGTGACCGATCAATCAAAGTTCACCCTCCCCCCCCGCCCCCCAAAGGCCTAGGCCTCCTCCACACATGCAGTCTTGCCCAGGGGGCTCTCAGCAGACCCGCAGCCAGACTCCACCCCCGTAAGCTGCTGGGTTGGCCGTCCAGGCTGCCCGGCCCCGAAATGTCTTGAAACCAGGGTGTAGGTTCCGCCTGGAGTTGTGCTGTCCAAACAGCTCAGAGCCTGGATTCTCCTGATCCTTGTCACCCTGCGCCCTCTCTCGTATCCCTTTGTCCTCTCCTCTCCACTCCTGCCCCCGTGCTCCCCTCCCCTTGCTCCTCCTGTCTTTCCCCTAGGCCAGAATTAGCCCTCCCCTTGGGCTCATACACCTGGGCAGCACCATGTCCCGTGGTGCTGGCCTCTGCCACCAGGTCCCTCACTCAGGCTCCTCCTCATCGAAGCTCCCCTCTGCCTGCTGGGGCCAGGGGTCGCCGTGCTTCCTTTCTTCTCCACCAAAGCGCTCTCCGCTGTGGCTTTCACCCACTGTGCCCTCTGCGCGTGAACTCCTTCTCCTCGGCCTGGGTGGCCCGCCTCCCGAAAGTCTGTCTCCCTGCACTGCCTGTATTTGGGGGTGTTTTCTGCTCAAAAGAATGGTTTCTCATCTCAGTGTTCTCAGATTGCAGGAACAGCGTGGACAACAGTGACTATTTGATGGATGTGTCCACATATAACCTGCCAGAGAACGTCCAGCTCTGAGATGCTGGTCCTCGCCCAGGGGACCTTGTCTGCACTCCCGCAGCTGGCCGCACAGGGCTGGCCAGGCCCGTTCCTTCACACTCAGGCGCCACCGAGCAGGCAGCTCTCCCAGAAACAGGCCTGGAATGTGGAGGGTGGTGTCCAGCAGACCATGGCCAATGCAGATGTACAGGAGAGCCAGCAGCGCTCCGGCCTGTTGTGTCTGGGGATGCTCACAGTCCTGTGTATTCCAGGTTCTCCAAGCCTGCACCCATGTTCCTGGATGACTCCTTCCGCAAGTGGGCCAGGATCCGGGAGTTTGTGCCACCTTTTGGAATCAAAGGTCAAGGTATGTTGGGAACCCTGACTCACTCAACATCAACATCTCACCCTAGACTGTCTCCCCGTACTTCTAGGCAGGGCTGTGCCCACAGAAATTGCCATGCACGCCTAACCATGCCTGCTTCTCTCCCTCTTCCTGTCTCTTTTCCTTCTCTAATGGAGTATTTGCTCAGCACCAGGGGCTGGGTTTGCAGGAGTGGAGGAGAGAGACAGGTCCTTTTCCTCCACAAACTCCTGTCTAGTGGAGACACAGATCCTTAGAGTGCAGGACAGCAAGGCTGTGATGAGGGAACATCTCATGCTGTGAGGTCCCAGAAAAGGGGTGCAGAGACATTGCTTCTAGAGGAATCAGGTATGAGGGGAAACCCCAGAGGAGAGGCCCTCCCTCACAAATAGCCCCATCTATTGCATCATCACCTCTGATATTTTTCATCTTTACCTGGGCCCCTTCCCTCCAGTCCTTTCTTACAATGTTCCAGGCTAACCTTTTCCCCACACTCTTAAGAGGATATTTCCTTGCCTCCGGGACACAGGTTGTTCCCTTCCAATTTAAGCCTTTCTCATCCCTTACAGTCTAACCATTCTGTTTACTCGTCACGTGCCCACACTGTTCCGCAGCAGGATAGTTTGGGCTGTGGGGCCAGACAGAGGGTCAGAGCCCAGTATCGCCTTTCTGCTAGCTGTGGCTGTGGACAAGTTACTTAACCTGTAGTTTCTTTATCCGTTAAATGGAGAAAATACTGACTTTGTATTAGATTGTGATCAGAAATAAATGATTCGACCAAGGGCTCAGTACCTCAAAGCTCTACTCAGCTGGCTTCCTTCCTCCCTGAGAAGGAAGCAGCAGCCAGTGAAAGCACTCCTGGGCTTGAGTTCTGAGCCCAAATCTCCAAGGGCAAATCTACGGCTTGGGCTGAGTCATATTGAAGAACTTATGTCTTCGCCTGGGCCCAGGTAGCCAAGCAGCCTCCTCCTCGCTGGAGACTCGATCCTACTAAGTTGCAAAGGCCAGTGTGGAGCCCAGTGGCCCACAGGAGAGTGTTTATGCTTTCTGCTCAGTTTCTCTCCAAGAAAACCAAGACTCAATCTCTAGTCTTGACCTTAGCCAACTAGCAGTAATACACTTTTCCTTAGAAAGGTGAAATTGGGAGTGGGAAAGGAGAAGACCTGTGTGGCCTTCTCTGAATTCCACCAAGAGGTATATCTGAAAGCACTTAATATAGAACATTTCCTACAGGTTTGTTTTCTACCCCAGTCTCACTTCTGGAAAGTTTGGCTGTGCCTACTACCTCCTCTTTCTAATCATTTACCCCAGGGATTATCTTCTCCCCCTGCCACTCCAGTGAAATTGCTCAGCTGCCCTCATGAAATCTAGTTCCCAGCTGACCTCTCAGCCCCACCTCACAGTGGTCTCCAGCCCATCTTATAAAAAATTATAAAATTTAAAACTTTGAATTCTTTTAAATCATCATTTTTTACATGAAATATTTCAGACTTACCAAAAAATATGAAAACCAATATAATGAGCACCCATGTCTACCTTACAAATATAACATACAAAATGATGTAAAAATAAACTTTTGTAAAATAAATAAATACATATATATAACATAAGCTACATAATCTCTGGATAGCCCTCCTGACGCCCTTTGCCTCCTTCCCTAAGCCACTGTTCTCCTGGTTACAGAACATATGTCTGTGTCCATTCAAATGTGGTCTTGTTTTTTTGCATGTCTTTAAGCTTTACAGCGGCATTATATATGTGTGTGTGATTCTGTGTGTTGTTCAAATTGACTATTTTGCTTTTGCTTTTGTGTTTGCTCCATTCTGGTACATGTAGCTGTGGGTCATTGATTTTTTTTTTTTTTAACAGCTGTGTCATTTCCTTGTAACATATATTTTAATCTCATTTCCTTTGGTGGAGACATGTAGGTTGCCTCCAGGATTTTGCCACGTGCATTCTTATACCAGCATCTTAAATAAATGTATGTTTTTTTATGTCATCTACCTAGGAACAGAGTTGTAGGGTCTCATTCTGTACAGTCACCTCTTGATGTTTTCAAGATGCTCTCCCCTTTGGTTGTACCAGTTTAATTATTTTTATCTTCAGGTCTATATGTACATATATATATTTTTTATCTTCCTAACAGCTCTGCAGAGTAGGAATTATCATCTTCATTTCATTTTATTTTTTCACTAAATAACTTTTACTTTTTAAGTGGTACCAGCAGTGTAAATATTTACATGTTGTTTGAAGGTGCAAGAATGTCAGTGGCCCAATAAATGTGAAAGGTGAACAGACAGGACCCAGCACAGAGCATGCGCAGCTGTGGCTCCTGCTCCTCCCCGAGCCACTTCCCCGGTCAGCGAGCTCACCCACTGACACCCTGGCAGGCCATCTCGAAGGGTTAGCCATCTGCCACACCAGCGTCCACTCTCACGGCTGTGAGTCCGCTCTTCTGGGGGGAAGTAGCAGACACTGACGCCGTTGGGGCTGCCCGGCCCCAGCCCCTCCCGTGCCCACACTTTTTGCAGGTGGGCATGGACTCACCTGCAGAGCGGGTCTGCTGCAGGAAGTCGCATGAGGATGTTCGCATTTGGGGCCCAGCTGTGAGCACCCAGGCAGCTGCTCCCCCAGTCACATCACCACTCTCAGCGTTGGGTACTTCCCTCGTGTTGCCTGGAAGGTGACGTGCTAAGCCGCCCACCAACAAGACCAGCCTGTTCTGCGGCCCTCACGGAACAGCAGGACGGCAGCAGAGTCCACACTTCATTTCACAGATGAGGAAGCCAGAGCTCTAGCTAAGGGAAACCAAGCTCGACTGTAAGGTTACAGAGCTTAGAGCCTAAGAGTCAGGGTTTTACTCCAAAACCAATGTCCCTGTATAGTACACACTTTTATAATGTTCTCATTATAACAGTTTGAAAGGAGAGCTGCTGTCATTGCCAAAGCCACAGAAAGGCCAAGAAGAATGAAGGCCCAATAGTGGGGACGGGGTTTGAGAGCACAGAGGTCATAGGTCTTGGCTGAGGCAGCCCGTGTGGCATCAGGTGGGCAGATGCCAGGCTGCCAGGGATGGAGACGTGAGGGGTCGGGAGGGAAAGGCAGCGTCGCCTGCAGGATTAGGGATCAGCAGCGTTAGAGGGAGGGAGTGAGAAGCAGAGGCTACCCGATCATTGGGGTGGGAGCAGGCCGGGACCAGCTCTTCTTTTCTAGGTTGTCTCCTTGCTTGCTTCCAGGGCCTGCCTGCTGGGCCCCGGGGGGAGCAAAGGTGGCCTGTTCCCTGAGCAGATAACCCCCTGCAGGTGGGAGATAACCCCCTTGGCCACTGGGTAAGCCCCAGATCTGGGGATTGCGCCCCGAGACCCTGGCTGTTGAGCTGCTGCAAACCAGGCCCAGGGAGGGCTGGGCAGCAACTGCAGGCGGAGCTGGGCTTGCCTGCCGCTCTCCGGGGAGAAGTTAGTTAGGCCAGTGGCTCAGCCCCGACATCCATCCACCGCTCCTCTCCCACCCCACCCTAGCCAGAGGAGCACGCACCTTTAAGTCAGACTGGCAAACCTTTTATGAGCATTTAAGTGACTGTCTAGTGGTGACTCTTCCTCTGTCTGCAGACAATCTGATCAAAGCCATCTTGTCCGTCACCAAAGAGTACCGCCTGACCCCTGCCTTGGACAGGTGAGCCACCCGCTGCCCAGCTTCTGCCCCCCGGCTGCCCGCATGTACGTAGGTATCCAGGCCCAGCTGGCCTCTGCTGGCCACGGGCAGATTCTCCAGCACACCCACACATGCATGCACTGGACACACCGGCTTAGGTGAGCAGATGAGAAAGACCACCCCCCTGGGTTTGCACCCCTGTGGGCTGTAAGCGCTTGGCAAGACACCACAGACGTCTGAGGAGCAGGTGAAAATGGAAGGCACTGGGACTGAAGGTCTTGGGGGAGGAGCTGAAGGGCCAGAAACAGACAGCAGTGGGTCAAGGGCAGGAAAAGCAAAACACGCTGGGTTCCCTGGTGCCTGCGGGAGCATGGAGGCTTCTGAATTGGAAATAAGCCCGACGCTCCAACCCACACCCCCGCTCTCGCTTTTGTGGCATAACTGCAGCTCAACCCTCTCTCCTGAAAGCTGCCTAAACCCCACCAGCCCCCTGGGGAGTCTTTAACCCAAAGCCTCTCTCCTCACCACCAGAGCTAGTGCCAGACTCTTCCACAGCCAGGTTTTCCAGGGGAAGTCTCAGAACCAGGGTTGTCTGTGAGTCCCTAGGGCCCAGATAGCCACAGTGAGGCTCTGGCCTCCTCACGGAAATGCACCAGGAGTCCACTGGTCTGCCCCCTCTCCCCGCCTAGGTCTGGCCAGGGGCGTGGAGTTAAGGACCATGGGGGTGGGGGGAGAAGAAACCGTGGACAGCTCTCCAGAGGCCTCTGCTTTCTCTCCCCTCAGTCTCAGCTGTCGCCGCTGCATCATCGTGGGCAACGGAGGTGTCCTTGCCAACAAGTCTCTGGGGTCACGAATTGACGACTATGATATTGTGGTCAGGTGAGCTGCCCCAGGCGCCTGTGTGTTCTGGTCCAAGCCCGAGAACAATCTGCCCATCTGGCCAGTTAAGCTGGAGGTCAGCAGAAGCCTCCAGAACACCTCTGGGTCGGAGGGCTTTGGGTTGGAAAGCTGGGCGGCACCAAGGGGCCTGGGCTCCCCATTCTCTGCACCTGCACACTCCGGGGCCATGGTGCCTCCCCGGCACAGACCCAGCTTCTGCAGTGAGGCCAGACTGGGCTCTGACTGGACCTGCTCTCCACAGACTGAACTCGGCGCCAGTGAAAGGCTTCGAGAAAGACGTGGGCAGCAAAACCACCCTGCGCATCACCTACCCTGAGGGCGCCATGCAGCGGCCTGAGCAGTACGAGCGGGACTCGCTCTTCGTCCTGGCTGGCTTCAAGTGGCAGGACTTCAAGTGGCTGAAGTACATCGTCTACAAAGAGAGAGTGGTGAGCACCCCGCGCCCCCAGCTT